TTGAATTTCCTCAGACGTTTCATTTCAAATCTGGTAGGGAAAACAAAAGTTTTTTCACCTTTGTTGAAGCCTAAATCTGAAGCAAATTTCAAATGGGAGAAGCACCATCAGACCGCCTTTGAGAAAATAAAACATTATTTATCAAAGTTGGCCTTTAAATGAATGAGACGACATGGTCTAAAAATGAATCCACTAAAGTGTGCACTTGGTGTTTCTTTTGCAATTTTTTGGAATAATTGGCGCATGAACGTGGTCTGGAAGTGGACCAGAACAAAGTAAGAGCTATTATTGAAGCATAATTGCTAAGAAGTAAGAAAGAATTGCAAAGATTCCTCAAGCATTTCATTTCAAATCTGGCAAGGAAAATAAGAGTTTTTTTCATCTTAGTTGAAGCTCAGATCTGAAACAGATTTCAAAATGGGAGAAGCATCATCAAACCTCCTTTGAGGAAATAAAGCATTATTTATCAAAGTCACCGATCTTAGTGCTTCCTATTCAAGGCAAACCTTTAATTTTGTACATATCTAGCACAAATGAATCTATAGATTGTTTGTTGGCTCAAAGAAAAAAAAAAATCAAAGGCAAGAGCAAGTTGTTTATTATTTGAGTCAAAGTCTATCACAGACTAAAGTGAAATGTTCTTTGGTCAAAAAGTTATCTTCCCTTATTTTTTGCTGCAATAAAATTGCGGCATTATTTGCTTTATTTTGAGGTCTATGTCATTTCAAAAATTGATGTGATAAAGTACATGTTTTCTCGACCATTGCTGAGAGGAAGAATTAGAAAATAAGTTCTAGCTTTGACAAAATTCAACCTGACGTATTTGCCTTAAAAAGTTGTCAAAGGGCAAGCCTTGGCAGATTTTCTAGCTGATCATTCATGCCTTGAAGTAGAAGCGGATGAAGAAAAAGGAGTCAATTTATTTTCCATACGTTTGGTTCCTTGGAAACTTATCTTTGATGGGTCTAGCATAGATTCCATGTCTAGAATGGGAATTGTTATTATTTCACTAGCAGGTATAACAACCTAGATGTTGTTCCATTTAGATTTCGACTATACCAACCACCAAGCTAAGTATGAGGCACTAATTATTGGGCTAAAGGTGTTGAAAGAACTCAAGGTACCTGTGGTAGAAATTATTGGTGACTCACAACTAATTTTAAAACAATTAGAAGGTTAGTATAAATGCATTAGTTTGTCTTTGGCACCTTATTTTGCTTTGGCAGTACAACTTTTAAAAGAGTTTGATGATGTAGTTTTTAGGCATGTAACTCAAGATCTAAACACAAAAGCAAATGAGATAGCACAGATCACCTCAGGCTTGAAAATTGTAGAAGGTGTGGTGAGAAAATTTGTTGTTATAGGAAAATAAATTATGTCATTCATTCATGAGTATGGTATGGCAATTTCTACTTGTTCTATAGACATAACCTAGACAAATTGGCATTATCCAATTATGGAATACCTTAAGAATCCAAATTCTAAAGCCTCAAGGAGGACGAGAATGCAAGCCTTGAATTATGTTTTGTTAGAAGATGTTCTTTATCGCAGAGGGCATGATGCACTTCTTTTGTGCTGTTTAGGACCAGATAAATACTGTTAGATCATGTCAAATGTACATAACGAATCTATGGTGCATACCAAGCTAGAATTAAGATGTGCTAGTTGATTCGTAGACATGGATTTTTTTGGTAGTCGATCTTAAAGGATTGCATTAGTTATGCCAAAAGCTACAAAACTTGCCAAATTCATAGACTGTTGCAAAAAGTTCAAGCATCAAAACTCCATCCAATTGTCAAACCATGGCTATTTTGAGGATGGGCCATAAATTTAATTGGTAAAGTCTATCCCCTTTCAACTAAATGGCATTCATTCATTATTGTTGCTACAGATTATTTCACCAAATGGGTGGAAGTAAAGCCAATAAAGAAGGTAGATTAGATTGATATCATTAAATTTATCAAGGAAGATATTATTCACATATTTGGTTTACCAGAAATAATAACATTAGATCAGGGGACAATTTTTGTTGGCTCACAAGTGAAGGCATTTGCAAGGGAAATGGGATTTCGTTTACTCACTTCAACACCTCATTATGCTCAAGTCAATGGTCAAGCAAAGGCTTCAAACAAAATTGCGATTAATCTGCTTGAAAAAATGGTTGATGACAATCCAAGGCATTGGCATGAGCTATTATCGGACACATTCTGGGCATACAAAACTTTGCAAAGGAGATCTACTAAGGTAACTCCATTTTCCTTAACTTATGGACATGATGTTGTTTTGCCTATGAAGTTATCTGCTAGATCATTGTGTATAACAATTTAACATGGTCTTACTTCTGGAGAATACAATGATGCAATGATGTTAAAACTTGAGGACCTTGAATACATGCATTTGACAGCCTTGGATAGGCTTTAAACATAGAAATTGAAAGTGGCCTGAGCATATAACAAGAGGGTAAAGTCCAAAAGTCAAGCAAAAGGTGAACTAGTCTGGAAAACAATTTTACCACCTGGAAAAAAAGATCCCATATTTGAAAAATGGTTTCCCAATTGGGAAAGACCATTTCACATCCATAAAGTGCTTAGAGGGGAAGCATATTAGCTTGAATCTCTAAGTGAAGAGTTACACCCTCGAAAAATAAATGGCATCTACCTTAAGCCTTACTATCCTACAATATGGGAGGCTATAGGCCTAGATACTTAAAATTCTGTTAGAGTAGATTTGGAGCGAAAATTGTACAACATTTTATCTTTCCTGTTTAGCATTTTATAATTCAATAAAACTGTTGATCTGAATTTTAAAGTTGGCCAAATTTGGTTGTAAGTAATCAAAGTGGCTAGATTATAGCCATGACAAATTCCAACCTACTACAAAATAAGAACAAGGCATGCAACAAGCAAGTTGCCACAAGCATGGGCAAAGAGATATTGAGAGAAGCTGTGCTTTGATGCTAGAAAGTGCTTGTAGGTTTGCTTTTAAATCTGTGTGAAGTTTGTTGTGCTACACCACCAAGTTCTACTCTATTTTTTCTTCCTTTAGGATCTGTTTCTTCAATTTTTTGAGCTTGGCCTTAAGGTTTGAGATCTCTTGTTTCAAATCTTGAAGTTGTTTAACATGTGCATTTTGGTGGTTGAAATCTGACATGTGGAATGGGAAATTGGAGTTCGCATGCAATTTATTTAATTAAAAATACTTAGATTTATTTCCATAGAACCAAGTGTTCGAGGCATTGTTTACACCATAAATTGCAAAACTTAAGATTATGCCACATTTCAATTTATTTTAAATGGTTCAAAGAGATTAAGCCACATTAGATATGCTTTTCTAGGGCCCTTAACAGATTAGATGTCACATAATAAAAAAAAAAAAAGGAAAAGGGATGAAAAGATGAAGTTTATCCGTTAGTTGCCTATTTGAGTCATGGTGGCATTGCTTCAACTTATTTTTAGGAGTTTGTTTTAGTTAAAATTGTAAGTTGGTTCATAACAAGGATAAATGGTGAAATCTAGAGGAAGATCTAACTTCATCAACTATTGAGGTGTCCATCTTCTCCAAGAAACTACCCACATTCGTGTAACCACCTAGTAGTGGGGAGTTGCAAGCAGGGAGGAGATAAACAAAAGGAAATTTTCTAATCATTTAACACACAGCCAACCCTACATACAACTCATCAAATTTCAATTCTCTAGTTTCACAACGATTGCTTACTTTAGCTTACAAATTTTAGTTTTCAACATAGATCCCAATAGATTTAGGTTGATTTTAGCATTCCAATAACCAAATTAGTTTGTGTAGTTGCTTCTATGATTTTCTTTTGTGTAATGAACATTAAGCTTTTCAACTTCCTTCTATAAGGTATTATTGTTTTTCTAATTGGTATTAGCTTAATGTTTCTAATAAGTAGTGTTTTTTCAAATAATTACTTATATGGCGTTCACACTTTTTCTTAATTTCTGGCATGTTAGTTTAACCTGTTATCATATTAGGTTCATGATTATTTAGGATTAAATCATGAGTTTTGTAGTATTTTGATTTCTAGATCTAATTGTAGATAGTAGTTTAATTTGATAATGAACATGTTTAGTTTTACTTGGATGCATCGTTTATTTGCAAGTTTACTTTAATTTGCTATCATTTAGTTCATTTTGGATCTATTAACTTTGATTCATAGTAGTATTAAGTCTTTAGAGTTGTCCAAGGCAGATTTAGCAACCCATTCCACAGAAAGGCATCCCTCCCTTTTGCAAATCATCTAAAGGTGCAGATTTCATTTTAAACCAACGTTCTTACAACCATTCATAATGGGGTCGATCGTGAGGAAAGAGAGGGTCATTGGGAAAATAGATTCTGCACATGTGGCACCGCTTAAGGAATTTTTTATGAAATAGCACATTATGAAAAAATATCAAGGAATAGATGAAATAAGTTATGTCTAGTAATTGCATGAAGTTGAAATTATGGGAACAAATGAATATGATGAAACAAGGTGTGGGGGGAATTGTACTAAACATTTCGATCATAACCACTGATCGAAGGACTAATTCAGTCAGTATTTATGACTGAAACAAGTCTGTGTTTTTTCCAAGAAAAAATATTTCTACATCACAAAAATATTTTATATTTGCCTCCAACAATTTAGCCATTCCTAATATCTAAAAGGTAATCAACATCTATTTGAAATTCATCAACATTCAATCAAACTTATATCAGTCATGTATTTTGACCGAAATGGTAGTCAATTTGGTCATTTTTTTGGTTTGAATTAAAATTTTCCCCCTCAATCATGATGATATTTTTTTGAAATATTCACCAAAACTAATTTGGTCATTTTTTTTTTTTGTTCAAATTAGAACTTTTCTCCCTCCATCCACACTAAATTTATTGGAAATTTTAGCTCAATTTTTCAAAACATCCGCCCAAACTAATTCGATCAATATGTTAGACTATAAAAAAGTTAGCCTATAAATAATCCTCAATTCTCACAATTCTCATTTGTTTTCCCCTATTTTCTTCTACTCTCCTTTTTCGCAATTTCCTCTCATTCTTTCACTTCTACTTCTTCACATTTTCTTCTTAACGAAAGCCCCTATTTGCACCCTCCATTTATTTTCTTTCTGTGGTCAACATGTTAAAGTAATTTTCATCTTAGTCAACACCCTCAACTTTTCAAAACATATGAAAAACCTAATATCTTAATGACAAAGCACCTGCCAATCACGTGAACATTAATAACTATTAAAAAGTGTGATATGTGGCACTCGAACAGTGATGTGGGCATTATGTGGCATTATAACTTTTTTTATGAGGTGGCATTATTTTTACACACGTGGATGCAATATGTGCAATGGAGACCACTTGTTGGCAGGACTTTTCCTGCTTATCCCCGCATCCCAACCCAAAAAGAAATAAAAATGAAACAAGGAACTTTAAGATTTGCAGTAATCCCTTTTCTTCTCATTTTTAAATATAAACCCTAATTTAGAAACCATCAATTTGGTGTGATCGAAAGGAATCTCTATCAGTGTGTAGTTTGAAAAGTGAAGGAAAATTGGAACTCTGTTGCTATTGATTTCTTTATAACAATCTTCGATCAAAGGGGACCATTGTTAGAGAAAAAAAGGGTTGGATTAAGAGCATGAAAAGGATAGAAAGTTTGGTGAGTGCCTTTATGCTGTCAATAAGTTTGATTTTTCTATCATTCTTTATGGATTTTTGTATTTTCTTCAAGAATGTTGTTCATTTGTGTCCCACCAATTGTGTCCCACCATCAGTGTCCTATGTTATTGGAAGATGTTTATTTCTTTGTGATTTGTTTTGTCTTATTATGTTAGTTTAATTAATTAAGTAAGTAATTAATAATATTAATTTATTTGTTGTACAGTAATGGTGGACCAAAATGGAGGTATTCTATGGTTCAATTATGGTGGGCGTTTTGTACAGGGACCATTATTTAAATATGTAAGGGGTGTACAAGAGGATGTTCCATGTGATATGGATACTCTGAATTCATTTATAATTACTAACCATGTTGTTAGACAAGGTTATGATCCAATTTCAATTAAAAACATTTACTATATGCAAGCTTCAATGGATATGCCTAGTGGAATAGTTTCTTGTAATTCAACCAATGCAATGAGGGAGATGAATGATATAATTTCATATGTTGGCAATGTGGAGTTGTATGTACACCATGACATCAATATACCTGAGATTATTGAGGGTCCACTATTGCTTACAAGAGCAGTAAGTAATGATAAGGAAGTATTAGATGCTCATGATGAGGGTGACAATAGTGATAGTGATGTTTCTCTGCATGAGGATGTGGGTAATTTAAGAAGTGCAAAAAATAGTGATGTAGATAGTGGTTGTGATGATGTGTCTATTATTGATTAGAAGACAAGATCAAGTGATAGTGTATGGTCATTGGGAAGTGACAAAACTGATGATGAACAAGTCAGTATTGTTGAATTGGCTAAGGAGGTAAGGAAGAAAAGGAGAAATGCAAAAAGAAGCAGAAGAAACAAGTCTAAGGCAACTGCAACTGATTTGCATAATGCAATTGGGAATAAGCAACAAGATGATCATGTTGATGAACTTGTAGTCCCTTAAGATCAACCAAATGTCCAAGAAGCTATTGTCACAGATGTTGTTGGTGTAGAAAAAACTACAAGGAAAACAAATAGTAGAGGTAGAAAAAATAAATATGCTCCTTAGCATAAAGTCAGACAAAGTGGTCAAAATAAAGTGAGAAGAAGTGATCCAGTTGACAACACATAGCAACTAACTGTTAGTGATGACAATAATTCATCTACAAATGATAAAGACAGGGACTCTAATTATGCAGATAGTGATGATCCTTGTGCTTGGGAATTCATTGGAATTTAGATGATGAGGACGAGATCTTTGTGCAACAAGATCATCTTGTTAGTAGACATGGATGTTAAACCTACTATAACCCAAAATGGAATATCCTATATTTTGATATTGGGATGAGGTTCAAAGATGCAAAGAAATTTAGAATGGTGGTTTGTAAATACTCCATATAAAAGCAAGCTCAACTGCAAAAGGTCAGAAATGAATGTACTAGGGTTAGATTTAGATGCCAAACATGATGCAAATGGGAATTGTTTGCCTCTTATGACCCAAGATATGAGTGTTTTGTGGTGAAGACATACTATAAGGAGCACAAATGCTTCAAATCATATGACAATGAGCTAGTAAGTTATAAGATTGTAATAGATATTTAAAAAAAAAAAAAAAAGGATTTACGAAGCACCATTAACAAAACCATCCGAGATTGTTAAGTGGTGCAAAAGTGAAATTAAAGTGAACATCACACTTGACAAGGTTGAAAAGGCAAAGAAGCACATTATGACACAATTGGAGGGTAGCTATATTGATAATTACAAATACTTGAAAAGCTATGCCAAAATATTGAGGGAGAGCCAGCTAAAGAATATTGTCAGTCACTACCATCCACATTGTCCCTAATCAACCTAGAACTTTCCATAGAATGTTTGTTTGTTTGCATTCTCTAAAATAAGGTTGGAATGATAGGTGTAAAAGGTTCTTTGGTGTAGATGGTTGTTTTTTTGAAAAGAATATGGAAGGGAATGATGTTATCTGCAATTGGGAAGGATAGGAACAACCAAATGTTTCCAATTGCTTAGGCAGTAGTGGAGTCTAAATGTCTTGAGTCAACTACTGAAAATTGATTTGGATCTTGGCAATGGTGCAGGTTTAGCAGTTATGTAAGATGTATATCATGTTCTTTATTTTATATGAATTTATTTCTAATTAATACTTTATGTTAATTGTTCTAAAAATTAATAATTGTTGTAGTTATTGGTTTTAATTATTGGTGTAGCCATAATATCTACTGTTAAGTTGATATTACCCGAGGTTAAGCATAGGCATTGTGTAAGACATATTTATTGCAATTGGGCAAAGTTGGGCCATAGAGGTGATAAGATGAAGATAAGCTTCTGGAATTTTGTAAAGGCAATGTTTAAAGATGTTTTCATTGATAGGTTAGGTGAATTGTTTGCTAAAAAAAGGCAAGGACATGATGACTTATTAAGATACCCTAGAGAGCACTAGTGCAAAGCATTTATCCAAGATCATTGTAAATGTGATTCAATTGACAATAATATTTGTGAAACTTTCAACTCTTGGATATTAGGGGCAAGGTGTAAGGCAATAATTGCAATGAATGATCATAGTAGGAAGCAATTGATGGTTAGAATAGCTAACAAAAGGCTATTTGCAAAAACTGGCTTGAAGGTGATGACATTGCTCCTAGAATTAAAAAAAAGCTTGAGGAACTGAAGGAGGAGTCACAGGGATGTAGTGTGCAGCCAAATGGGGTTAATGAGTTTGAGGTGAATGATGCAAGGATCAGGATGTTATCAAATTTAATAACAAAACATGCACATGTAAAGGCTGGCAACTCTTGAAGGTTCCTTGCCCTCATGCTTTGGCTTGCATAAGGTACAAAAGGTGGAGAGTAGATCACCACGTTTTAGATTTTTATAAGAAAGAAAAATATTTGGTTGCCTATGTTATCCTCTTCAATGCATAAGGAAAAGGATGAAAGTATGGAAGTCTGTAGGTGAAGAAGAGCTGTTACCACCACCGTTAAAAGCATGTCAAGAAGGCCAAGGAGAAAAAGAAGAAGACATAAGGATGAACCATAAAAGATAAGGAAAGGGAAGCTTAAGAAGCTCACTAGAAGGGGAGAAAAATGACATGCAAGGTGTGTGGCAAGGAAAGGCACAATCAGAGAACATGCCCATATAATAATGCAAAAGGCAGAAATGAGAGTGTAGGAGTGAAAATCACTATAAGTATTGATTAGTTTTGGTTTGAAGTGCTTTTATGATTGTTTGACATAGTGGAATCACTGTAAGTATGATTAGTTTTGGTTGGTAAAAGAGATACTTTTGGTTGGTAAAAGAGATACTTTTTTTTGCTAATTTAGTTGGTGGTTGAGGTTTTTTTTCCCTATGAAATTTTATTTCTTACTTTTGCATTATGTGGAGGCTTGAAACCACTTTTGGTAGTTGGTGGTTGATGTTTTTTTACCCTTTGAAACTATATTTGTCCCCTTTAATTTAGTGGATGCTTGAAAATATTGTGTTTCAATGATTAGTGTGTAGAAGAAACTATCTCTTATGGATGCTTTAAAATTGCTTTTTGGTTCCAGGGTCAAAATAAGAGAAAGAAACAAGGAGGTAAAGGTGCCTCAAATTAGGTACCAAGAAAAAGAGGATGAGGTTCCCTACCGCCACAGGGAGCTTTACTAATTTAGCAATGGGACTTATAGTGATCAATGTATGTTTGAAACCTAATTCTTTTCTTTTTATAAGTTTTATAGTTAAATTGTTAATAAAGTAAGTCACCATGCATGTTGAATGATGTAGCTTGGACATGGGGAAGAACAAAAGCTAATGAAGGGTGTTAATGCAACTGCTAGCAATGTGGCTACAAGAACTACCAAATTTTCAATAGAAGGCAAGGAGAAAGCCGGAATATTACTTTAAAATGGAAATGGTTTGTTAGTTTTTGGCTTTTAAAAAGTCTGGTGATTTAGGGATTTGGTTTATTCATATTATGACAAAAAAGGATAGGTTAAATGAAGGCCATGTCATTTTCTATATAGCTTGTATCAATGAATGACCAAAAATAGCACTTGATATATGGTCTATAGATTCTGATTTTTGTATACTTTGTAACAATGAATTGCCAAAAATAGCACTTAATGTATGGCTGAATAGGGGATTTGGTTTCATAAATTTTGTTTCAATGAGTGGCCAAAAAATAAATTATTATTACAAAGGGTTTATATATACCTTGTTTGCAAACAGGTGATAGTAAGAGAAACATGTGCTCTACACAACATAACAAGGCATTTCATTTAGGTAATTTTTTAGCAAATTGGGTATAACTTCACAAAATAGCTGGCCATTTTCTCACTTACATGAAGTGCCCAAAAACACACATAACCACACTCAAATTTCCAACATTCTAACAAAACAGAAAGTTTAGAAATGCTAAATTCAGAAAGCAAAGTGTAACAATAACACATCTAAGTTTATAGAATGCAATTTGCATTTTCTTTTCCATCCTATCAATTTTAGACAGCTACTAACAACCAACTTGTTCCACTAGCTGATTAGTTGCAGTTTCCTCCATCTCATCATTCACACTAACACTTTGCCTTTTCCTCATTAGCTCAACAACTTCCTTAGGTCTCTGCTTGAAATTCTACAATTGCTTCCTTAACTCAGAATTTTCCTTTAACAGTTTCTTCCTTTCATTATGTAGGTACCAAATAACATCTTTGGCCCTTTTGGTGAAGTTTGTATCCTGACATACAAAGTAATCACACTTCTTTGACACATCCTCTTCCTAAATCATTACTGAAACTGAAAGACAATAAAAAAATTATTATTATTATTATTTGAAAGGGGAACCCACCTTAAAATCTGGACATCTATAAAAGCGATGTCCTAGATTTGATTCCCTCCATTCAGTCCACCATAGAGCTAATTTACCACAATCCAATGGTGGATGGGTGGTGGGTAGTCATACTTGGGAATCCAATCATATGAAAGGAGGCCGACCAGATGAAGTCAATGCACCACATGAAGTTGAACCTCATGAGAATGAACTTCCATATGTCCTCAACATTGCTCTCTTACCAAAAATTGTGGTAGGATTCACAAGAAGAAAGTGAAAGAGGAAGATCGTGGAAAAATTGAAGAAGATTGAAAAAGGGAAGAAGCCAAACACTAAATCTCTAAAAAGTGACTGTTGTAGATCTTAAAGTTCCCTATTTTAGGTTTTTTATTAGTTAGGATGCAAGGATAAGCAAGAAAAGTCCCACCAACAAGTGGTCCCCACTACACACATGGCATTCAAGTGTGCAAAAATAATGCCATCTCATCAAAAAAAGCTCCACATTGGATTTATAATGCCACATAATGCCCACATCACTGTCTGGGTGTCATATATTGTACTTTTTAATTGTTATTAATGTTCACGTGACTAGCACATGGTCTGTTGTTAAGATATTGGGATTTTCATAGGTTTTGAAAAGTGAAAAATGTTGATCGAGATAAAAATTATTTTAAGGTGTTAACCGCAAAAAGAAAATAAGTGGAGGGTAGAAATAAGGGCTTTGGCCTTAATAAAAGTATACTTTTAAAGTTAGTTATTAACTAGTCAATCCACAAGTCACGTGCGGTCAAATAGATGTTGGTTGTCAATATCCTAAGAAAATTAGTGTAATATTGTATATACCTAAAATTTTAAAATTTTATGTCCACCCAAATGTATTATAAAAAAAATATTATATAGTCTGTATTATATTATATTATACAATAATTACCATTGAGCAAAAGATTGATTCTTGATGTTGAGGTTTTTTCCCTTTTTATAATGACTTTTATTTTATAATTTAATATAATTTAAATTATAAAATAATAAATTTATATATTAAATATAGTTTTAAATTTTAAATTTTTATGTACACCTAAATACCTTAAGTTTTATGTAAACCAATTTTAAATTATAAGTAATTAAATTGTAATTAATTTTCCCAACTAATTTAAGAGGATCAGAGGTCGCTACATGATTCGTGTGAAGACGTTTGTGTGGCTGGGAAATAAAAGCCATGTTGCAGCTACCGTTCATGATTTGGAAAATAATTTTTTTTTTTTTTTTTTGACGTGCGTACAACAGAATTAAAGAATCCCAATGTAATGAAAACTCAGCAAAATGCAAATTGACGATGGCAAGAAATTAATATTCCAACACAGATGGATACTTTGTTGGCCACATTGATTTGTAGCTCAGCTGGGCACATCTAATTTTCTCTCCTTGCTTCCTTTTCAAATGTGGACCAACGGATGTTCTACTTTTCAACGAATTGCGCACAAGCTTCATCTCTAGGACTGGGACGACCATATTTGTTTTTAGTTGTATGGACTGTGAAAAAGTGTTAAAGAATAAACATAACTCGTAGATTTTGTTTGATGCTTTTGTCATTTTTAATCTTACGTTTTTTTTTTTAATTTTATTTTTCATTTTTAACGTTGTTAATACTGTTGGTTTGTCGAACCAATAACATAGGACATGAACTGATAGTTGTGTGATTTTCTTTTATGTTAAATATCTTTTTTGGTCTCTTTACAATTGAAAAAAGCTCCTTTTTTATCCTTATATTGAAAAAATCTCTTTTTTAACCCTTAAAAATTGAAATCCGATCCCCTTTTGGTCTCTCTATTAAATTTTTTTACATATGGTAATTAATTAACGAAATTATATGATATGAAAAATCCACTTTGTTAAAAAAAATAATGTGGACATATTTTTGAATTCACGTCAGCATCTTCACCCTTTTGGCTTTTCTTTTTTTAACTTTTGCTAGGTTTGTTGCAAACCCACCCAAGCATGCGTTGGGTTGTCACAAACCCAAGTGCGAGCTAAGTTCGTCACAAACCTAGGCACACATTGGGTTTGTGATGAACCCAACATGTGCGAACTTAGCTAGCGCTTGGGTTCGCGACAAACCTAGGATGAACCCACCTAAGCGCACATTGGGTTTGTCGCAACAAACCTAGTAAAAGTTTTTTAAAAAAAAAAAAAAAGCCAAAAGGGTGAAGATGCTAACGTAGACTCAAAAATATTCCATATCTTTTTTTTTTTTTACAAAGTGAATTTTTTACATCGTGAATTTTTTACATCACATAATTCCATTAATTAACTGTCATCTATCAAAAAATTTAACGAAAGGATCAAAAAGGAGTCGGATTTCAATATTTAAATATTAAAAAGGGGTTTTTTTAATAGTAGAGGAACCAAAAAAGATATTTAACCTTTTTTTTATCCCTTTTTCTTCACTTGTATGCATAAGAGTTGAAAATTTAGCCCTTTTACCCTATTTAATACAAGATTTTCTTATTAATCTTTTTTTTTAAATTTTGAATAATAGGTTATATAATAAAAAATAATTTTTTTTCTCAAAACTCTTCCTTACACATCTTAGAATTCAAATTTAAAATCTCCAATGTAAATAATATCTATGTTTAGATTGAAAGAAGGAGAGGAAAGGAGAGGAGAGAAGAGGAGAGGAGGGGTGAAAATTCCTCCATTTGGTTAAAAAAAGTTCTAGAAGGGATGGGAGGTTAAAGAAATGGAAGGATGTCTATGCTTCTATTTCCCTCTCCTCCATTTCCTTTTTACTAAACAAACTTAAAGATTTAAATTCTTAATCACTAACATATACTTGATTGATTAAATGTGATAAAAAATGAAAATTAAATTTATTGAATAAAAAATTAAAAATCCTGACTTTTGAAATGCTATTAGTTGTCAGTTCATTTCATTAAATTAAGGGATGTTGAACTGACACCCCGAACTGATAACTAGTGCAGAAACTAAAATCTCGCTCCAAAAATTTGGTGTCATACCTAAATATTAGCCGGTAATGTTGGAGCGGCTGGTAGTACGGGGAAATGGGAAAGCTTCATTACCTACATATATTTTACTTGACCATTGACCAGTAGGACTAACCGAAAATCAATCTTGCCAGAACGAGACCATTTTTAATGTGTATATAGCTACGTGGCTTAGTCAGTGGTAATACAATCTCCACAGCAATAGAGCTTCCTGTGTTTCAAAAGTAAAACAGAGACCACTGGCAACAAACACAAAGCAAAGGAAAATATTGCTTCTTTAGATCAAATAGAAAATGGTTGCAGTTTCTTGGTGTTTCATTGCCATCCTTCTAAGTTGGACTCTGCTTTGCTTGGCTGAAGGCAAGCTGCATTATTATGACTTCCATGTAAGTACTCAAAACCAATGGAAAAGGCCTCCCTTTATTTTGCCATGCTTCTTCTTTGTGGTTCTTTAAGTAATCCCACATGTGTTTTCTTTTCTAACACAGCTGAGGGAGAAAAACTTCACGAAACTTTGTACAACCACCAACATGTTGGTTGTAAATGATCAATTACCTGGCCCAACCATCTATGTTCAAAAGGGTGATAGTGTGTTTGTTAATGTCTTTAATCATGGCTTCTATGGGGTCACAATTCACTGGTATGCACCCTCTAGCCTTTCCCACTTAAGCAAATGTGCGTGGTTTAGATATGGTGCTTAGACTTTTTACAAAGAAATCAATCACTGTCTTAACGTTTTCTGAAGGCATGGTGTAAAGCAACCAAGAAATCCATGGATGGATGGTCCAGCATACATAACGCAATGCCCGATTAAACCAGGAATGAACTTCACATATGAAGTGAAATTTTCGGATGAGGAAGGGACCCTTTGGTGGCATGCTCATAGTGACTGGGCCAGAGTTGGAGTTCATGGTGCCATTGTCATATACCCTGAGGAAGGAACCACTTATCCTTATCCTATTCGTCATGATGCTGAAGAAGTCATTGTTCTTGGTATGAAAATACATTCACCGATTAAGGATTTTAAGCCACTGGGGGCTAACTGGCCTGAGTGAGCTAGGCCCCCCAACAGCTTTAGTAAAATTGGAAGTTTGGTCCTTTAAATTTTATTTTAATTATTTTTTACCTTAAATAGTTTTATTATTATTTTTTGTTATTAAAGATTACTTTAAAGTGATAATAAGAAAGATAAGAAAAATATATACATAATATGAAAGACGAAAAAGAAAAAATTAATTGAATAAAAAATTATTCAAAATCATTTGTTTTTTAAATATTCATTAATAACTTTTTACTGCATTTTTTAACTCACTATATGTGTTCATTTTGATCTTGAATTAATAACATTTGTATTGCTTTATCAAACACTATTAATTTATCATTAAAGATTAATAAACTTTGATTATAATAAATCATTTTAAAAAATTATCTCGCTTATCAATTTTTGAATTTATTATAGACACACCATTTATTAGTTAAGGTTTCATTTTGCCCCTAAAAAATATTTCTAGATCCGCCACTGGTTAAAGCAGTTTGAATTGTGATTATAGTTGAACCTCAGCATTCCTTCACTTTAATTACTCTCGCAGGAGCTTGGTATACTTACGATGTGAACTGGGTGGTGATAGAGTCAGACAATAGATATGGCCCAGGATCAGATTCCTTCACCATCAACGGTCAGCCTGGAGACTTCTGCCCTTGTTCTAAAGGTATGACACAGTTAGCAGTTTTGCTGTTTGAACCACACAAAACTATAAAATCAGAACCATCAGATAGGAAGGATCTGCCCCTTCATTCAGGGCTTGCCCCTAGTTGATGGTTAGTTTTATGTATAGTTTAGATTGTACAGAACATTTCTGTTATACATAATGATGTATAAAAATAAAAATTCAATTTTATTTCTTGAGAATTCACAGGTTTTGACACCAGTACAAATAAAATTGAAGTGACAAACCATTTTTTTGTTTCTTTTTGTAGAGACGACATACCGTTGGGAGGTTGAGCATGGCAAGACCTATCTTCTTCGGATGGTCAACGCGGCCCTGAATGCTGAATTGTTCTTTGTAATAGCCGAACATAACGTGACTGTTGTTGGAATGGATGGAGCATATCTAAAACCTTTCGATACAAACTATGTTGTGATAGAAGCCGGACAAACTATGGATGTTTTGGTTACAGCAAACCAATCATCTGGTCTATATTACATGGCGACAAGACAATGCTTCACTGGTGAAGCCAGTTTCACTAGCCTTGACACAGCAAATGTCACAGCAATTCTACAATATAATGGTAGCGATAGTTCTTCGTCATTGCCTTATTTTCCAACCTATTTTCCAGATTTCTACGATGTATATGCTGCAATGAGCTTCAGGAGCAAATTAAAGAGCTTGTATGGCCAGGATGTCCCTACAAACATAACTACTCGCATGTTCATCACAGCTAATCTGCAACAATACCACAGCGATTTCATCTCAACCTTGAACAATATTTCTTGGGTCAATCCTGACATTGACGTGCTTCAAGCTTATTACAAGCAAGTATTCCATTCTGATGCTCAACTTCCATTTGATAATTGGAAAAAACAAGCAACATATAACACATCTTCTAACCTGTTGCAGTAACATGAGTGGCTTCTACTCTGATGATTTTCCGGACAATCCACCAACTTTCTATGATTTTGTGGGATTTGATGTGGGGCTCAATACCACACAGGGAGAAGTCGGGACAAAGGTAAAGGTGCTAAAATATGATGAGGAAGTGGAGATGGTGTTTCAATCGGCAAACATTTTGAATGGGTCAATGGATCATCCAATGCATTTACATGGCTACAGCTTCTATGTGGTTGGATCTGGTGATGGGGACTTTGATTTTGATGAGGATCCCAAAACCTACAATTTGGTTGATCCACCTAAACTAAACACAGCCACATTACAAAAGTCGGGATGGCTTGCAATTAGATTCAAAGCAAGTAATCCAGGTACGTCTGTCACTTAATGGATTGTTTTAATAGATTTTGAACAGAACAGAAGTCATTAAGTAAAATCTAATGCTTAAATGGGGTGATCGTTTTGCAGGTGTATGGTTGTGGCATTGTCACTTGGACCGCCATTTGAGTTGGGGTATGAATTATGTGATCATTGTGAAGAATGGTGGCACTCCTGAAACAACAATCAGAGAACCCCCAAAGTTAATGCCCGTTTGTGAGGAGAAAACATCTAACAATCTCAACAGGCTGAATGATTCACCCGTGTACTCTGAATCTAAATCTATATAACTTCTTAAGCCTTCCTAATTTCAGGGTAGCATTACCAGAACAGAATCAGGTGAAGTTTTTAGCAAAACCGGGTTACTTGATATATGATAGATAAAAATAGGGTTTAATAAAAGATTCTTTCGCCCAAAATTTTATGTCTTCTGGAGCCTTCCTATGCCTTCAGGTATTTTTGGTTTAAGAAAATGAAAATAAGGGATGGATAAACTTTTTGTCTAACAATTAAATGTGGGCAAAACCATAAGTTAAGCCCCTGAACCGACCCCAGAATCGCTATTAAGCCCCCAGACTCTAATTGAAGCATTTAAGCCCCTAAACTCTACAATAGAAGCAATTTAGCCCTTACTCTCACAGCCAACTTAATTGCTGCTAATTGT